ATGGATATAATATGTCAAATATCAAAATGTAGATACCTTTAAATGTAATCATAAACTATTCCTACTACAAAATGCTACTTAAAATAATACAGACGTTACGGACGACGGACAGTATTCTAATAATAAAAAATAGGAAGTAGATAATACATTATACAACATTAAAGTTTTATTATTACTCTTATTTGTTCAAACATATTGTCTATACCTAATTTATAAGTCACAATTAAGTCTACAAGATAATAATATTGACATTATATTATGTTATTTATATCTTGTCTTGTTGATCAATTGAAAATTAAACTAAGATGATGCATTGATGCTTATTACTTTGAGGTGATTGTTTCTAAAATAAACTGGTCATTTTTCATATAGTTGTAAAAAACACTCCTCTAAGTCACGGAAAAAGGTAAAATGTAATGTATTTTAAACAAAATGTATGACTGTGGTTATTTTTGTATAGGTAGTTTATACAATATGAAATAATAATGTTAAATACTTTGTATTTACATCAACAGTTTATTTTAGTAATAGCTATGCGAGGACATACTAATATGATACAGTTTTAATTTATTCACTATTACCTTTTTCCTCGATAGGTTTCGAAAAATTCGAAAAGCACTATTTGTGATTCTAATATTAATCATGTTGTAAAAATTGTTTTCATAGATATTAGTGAATGTAGAAATAGTATTATACTACAATATCGTATAATTTATATTATAAGCCACTGAAATGAAAAAATGAAAAAAATTCAAATTTATTTGTTGATAATATCATCTTATTCACAACCATAAAGTAATATTTAACCTTCAATAGTTCAATCCTATTTAATATGTATCAGTATTTATTAATTGCTATACTTAAAAGCTAAAACTTATATTATAATGACGTAAATTATATGTATATTTTTGTTCCAATAAATCATTAATAATTTTAACATATAAATTATTATCATATTCGATAAAAAATTGGGAGTACCTAGGTAATAATTTTTATGATTCAACACGGCTTCTTTTTATGTGAAATTTAACACTATATTAATTTGTGATAACCTTGAAATCAAACAATTTAGTTTTAAAAACAATATTAATAATTTGCATTCATTAAATTTGTATAATGTTATATTTTGTATCGTATAATTTGATCGAACTGTTCTGTTATACTAACACTTAACTTAATGCGTATTTATATTTAGGTATACAATGTGTATTGTATTTGTTACTGTTATCTTTGAGGTAAAAATGTATAAGTTTTTTGGAAAGGCCATCCTGTGATAAATAACACGCGTGTTTCTCAATTCAATGGTCGCTACAAAAAGCTACCGTTGTCGTGCCTTTCGCATTTTCAGTGGTTTAAAATTGAAGTGGCGTGGTGCAGCAATTGGTTAAAATCGAAAAACATGTCTTTTTGTATCAGAGGAATGCTTGCAATGAACACATCTTCTTTCACAAATCTACTTGTTATGTTGTCACTTATATTACGTTGTTGGAAGAATACCCAATTCTCACATTCGTGGCATGCCTACGTTTTACGATTTAGGTGTACAGGGTGCCTAAGATTTCGCAATAACAATATGTGAGCTAGAATTTTCATGGTAAACTTGTGTAATGTTATTTTGAGGAAATTTCTAAAAAAAAAAAAAAGAATGGAATGCGATAAAAATATATTGGTAAATATATTGTTCACGTTTACTCACGTGAAAATCTATTACACAAGATTTTATTAAAATTATATTAATTTTTTTATTTATAAAGCAAATATTTACATATCAATAAACAATAAATACAATAATTAGGTAAGAATAACTATATTTCGTAAAATAGTTTATTTTTACAATTAAATATTTTTTTGTATAGTAATTTTTTAGAAGTTTTATACTGTTTTTAAAATAACAACCCGTATTTTTATGTCAAATGACTATTCTAAAACTTTTGAAAAATGTATTCATAACCATTTGCAACTTTAATATTTTATATTCACATTGTCGTCCTGTCGCCTATCCGAGTATCTTGGATTTTCGATGATATATACAAGTGTATTAGATTTTTATTAAAACAGGAATATAAAACAATAGATATTTGTCTTTCATACATTTATTTTTTTAATGTAATTAGTTGTTATGGATTTTACATTTCTGTATAAAAAAAAATAAATACTTCTATATTACGTATCAATACGTACCTGCATTTTAAAACGATTTATCATTTATTTTAAAATCTAAATAATAATACATCATTGGTTGAGAACCGAACGACCAAAGAGTAGGAAAATCCTTAAAATACTACCCGTCAGTACCTATTTTTTTTTCATTCAAATTGAGATTAAAAATAAAAGCTGGAATAAATGAATATACGGCGAAAGCTTTATATTAAACAGAAGTAAAAGCGCGTGGTATTGATTAAACTCGGCGAGTGAACTTAAAACCTCTCTCCGTAAATTGTTGTTTTTTTAATGCCACATAAAAAAAAGAATAATTCGCCTAGGATTTCATCCTCTATATTATAATATCTTTAGTAAAATAAACTCATTAAAGCATTGAGCAGATATGACGCGTATATCTACAACAGAACTACGTAAACTGATATTTGAAATTCAATCGAAATCCGAAATTATTATAAAATATGGAATAAAGAGTTTTATATTCACTCAAAAACTATCAAACATGCATTTATAAATGTTCTCTTATGCACCGAACAACTAAAATGCATGGTTAAACAATATGAAAGATGCTCAATATAATCGATCAAAAAATGATTTTCTAACATTATGTTTTTGGAAAATATTTGAACAATTGTACTGCTTTATGCATTTAAACATTTTTAAAAATTCCATGCTACCACTATTTTAATGTTGAAGTTATTTACTTCGTTTAAGCTATACTGTAACAACAATTTTCCATTGAAATTTGAAATATTGATAAAAAATTATGTTTTGATTGACTTTATTGCTGTATATGATTAGTATTAAAAAGTTCAACCACAATATTATAATATTATTTCATTTACATTAGTGTTCAAATAAAATATTCTATTTTCAAATAACTACCTAAGAAAATATGTGTTAATAAACCATAAATATTATTATGTTAACTATTGACAACGTTATAGAAAACATAATAATATGTAATTCTTTCTTAGCATAAAATTCTTAACTATTATTACCTACTTAACAATTATCTTGACATACAATACTAAAGAGAAAAAATATATGAACCCACAGGAGTCCTTGTTTTTTAGTAAATAGGTACCTACTTAAGTAAAGTATGAAGCACGAATTAAAATATCTTAATTCGTGGTATCAAGTATGATAATATTATATAAATATATATTAATATTAAATATTTTTTTAATACAATTAAAACTTAAAAAGTACGTTTCTAATAGGTACATGAATCCGATGACTCCCGTATGTTAAACATTAATTGTATTTCAGTGTAAGATGTATTATGTTTAATTTGAAAACGAATTTAAATTATCGTGATATAGAAAAACAAATCTGAGCGAAGCTCGTCGAAAAGTGATGATATACTTAGTAGTTAAGTCACTCCCACCCCAAATGCTCAATTATTTTTACTAAAATTGTTTATGTAACATGCTGTAACGAAATGTAAGCATGATAACTTTTTTTTTAACCTACGAAGAAGTTCGAAATTCCAATCTTTGATTCCAAAAGCTAGGGTAAGAGTGTGGTGTGCTAGTGTGACGGAGTTGTTCTTTCAACATTTCTTCAAAATTCTTAGATTGTTGTGAGTAGTCGTCAGTGGTCCAGAAATATTCATTAAGAGGGGAATATGTGATGTTATAAGTAATAATACATTTTAGTGAATTGTGGGGATAAAATCAAAGACACAAATGGTAGGTCTTTAGGAGGCAAACCCCGAAAATCATTAATAGCTTATAACCACGGATTAAGGTCTAAGATAATAAAGTAAATCATTCTATAATAAATTTACACGCAGTTTGATACAGCTGATGATAACTGAGTGATAACACATTTACACAGTTAACTGATGGGTCATAGACTCAAAGGTACCAAATTTTATACGGTTTTGTCAATGTTTTGCACAATCATAACTCATAATAAGAAATAACTAATAAGCAGGTAATAATATAGTAGTAAGGTTTTTTCTTAAATTTAATTTACATCAACTTATGAGAAACGTTGTACTTAATAAATATTTAAGCTTTTTAGCAGAAATTATAAATTTTTATCAAAATCGATAAAAAAAAATCTCAACTGTCTATCAATAGTTCAAAAAGAGCCAAAATTTTGATAAAAATGTCAGTTATTTATTTTTGAATTACAATAAAATAACAAAATCGGTTTTGTCAAAAATTGGTGCCGTAATTTTGGATTTTTCTGATAGTTAAGAAAAGTACGAGTAATATTTCATTTTTCCCTCCCCCCCAAGAAGGTTGGATCTAGTTTTCTACTAGAAACCATAAGAAGTTGAAGATCAAATCATTTTTTCTACTATGAAAATCATTTTCTGAGGGAAAAAAAATACATTTGGGAAAAAAAACACATTATATTGTAAAACCAATCACTGAAGTGTATACTATGGACGCACATTGGGAAAAAAAACTGTCCCACCCTAGTAGGCTGCCATTTTGATTCTTCTCATAGAATAAACAATAAAAATGATCTGCAAAATATGCTATCCACCGGCATATCACTGATATTTCGTAGAAAATAAGATAATAAAATAATTCTATCACTGACGAAGTCCGTTAATTCTATCAATGACAAATCATCGATAGGAAAACTAACGGAATCAAAATGATGGCCCTCAATATGGGGACACTTTTCAATACATGAATTATATATAATACGCCTCCCATGTATAGAGTTCAGTGAAAACCAATACATCCCAGTTAAATCTGGCCAATTGTTCTAACTTAACTACAAAAATATAGCTAAACAGGTTTCATCTAAAAACATACTTAAAATATATATTTAATCGTTTCAGATGTCTTGACAATGACGCCAATGGCGGCAATATGAGACCCTTACCGCCGGGTCAAGATGGAGTCGACTACTGTAAAATCCGCAGAGACCGAAACCACCACCACCATCATCACCATCATCACCACAACAATCACCACAGCGTTGGCGGCAGCAGCAGTGGCGGCACGCTGCGCCGGTCGTCGGCATCGTTGCTGGAACCACCGTCTCCCGCCGAACGGTACCACGGCACCATCGAGGGCCATTACCGTTTGCATGACTTGGCGCTCGACCGGTACGTCCCACCGCCGTCCCCCGAACGGTACTCATCGGGCGCATCGTCGACCGGCCGGTCGTATCAACAACACCACTCCCAACAACAACACCATCACCAGCAGCAGCCGCCGGACGATCGGTACTCGTCATCGTCGTCGTCATCGTGTCATGGCACCACCGCCGGAACAGGCAGTGGCAGTGGCGGCGGCGGCCGTAACCACTATCTTCCGGTATCGCAGAGCACGTCTGAAAGCTTCATGTCACCGCCGTCACCGGTGGCCGAACGGTTCGACTATGCCGCGCGTCACCACGATAGTTATGCCACCGCCGCCAAACGAAACGAATCCGCTTATTCCAGGTAAACAAGCCCCAACTATCGGTGAATCCACAAGTTTTGTGTGCTTTAGGTCACGTCTAATGACACCCCATAATACAACATATTATTAAGTCATCTCGCCGGACAATATAGTACCTATACGGCTATACGTGTAAACTCGATACATTAAAAAAAAAAGGAATAGATATACTTATCTCAAGTATGGATGAAGACCGTTTAAATTACTTTTTTAAACTATAATAATATGTATTATATACTATCTAGATAGGTAAAAGTAAGCTATCTGATTAAGTGTTGATCCTCAGAACAGTAATTTCCTCACCCGCCATTTTACTTTTAACAAAATACGTTTTGGAACTCCATGTTCTGCCCTTAACTTCTTCCATACCATACTGATAACGGTTTTGTAAGACAAATAAAGTAGGTACCTATCCACTCTTCCTAAATAAATTGGTGTTATTTTTTTTTTATCTAATATCTAGATAAAAAGTTGTGGTAAGTGTGATATTTTTATATCTGTATTATTTTATCTAGATGGTATTTCAAAAATTATCTTTTTGCAACACTGCAAACGTTGATACATAGAATTTACCACTCAGTCCTCGGGGGCCCTTTAAACCACCAAATCATATATTATTCCCATACTCCGATAAAATAAATATAAAACAAAACGTATAACACATATTCCCATAATTTATACACTATATAATTATTATACAGTAAATCTCCTTATAAATAAACCTCCAATAACAGAAATCTCTTTACAACGGAAAATAACAACAGTCCTGTTCCCTTAAAACCAATAACCCGTATATTTTAATATCCCTAAAACAGAAACTCCTTCATAATGGAAAAATCGGTTGGTACCGAGTGATTCCGTTACAAGGAGGTCTTACTGCACATATTTTTTTTTAATAATAAAACATGTTAAGAACACGGGTGAAATGGGTGATACCTATTTGTGCACACTTTGAAAATTTTACCTAACATTTAAGAAACCATCTGTGACCATTTTAAAAATTGTACCTTAAAATAGGTAGGTACCTATGCGCACATATTATATCAAAAATGAAACAAACTTTCGCCGGCTAATAGATGAACCGACGATAAAGTACGATACTATTGGTATTTATATGCTAGTCTTATTCAACAAACCTTCATAATACCTTTCCGGACCGACAAAACACACCTTTCGTTTTCTATGAGTTTATTGTACCTGCAAAAGGTATGAATATATGACATATAAGTCAACTAGGTGGGACTTACCATACCCATAATTAGGGGAGAACAATTAAAATTATAACTAATAAATATTATATTATGTTAAGCTTGTAGACAATTTAAGTAAGAATTCGGTAAAATTGGCTTAAGACATAGTATTATAAATATTTTATATATTTATATTTAATATTTTAAATATTTTATAGTTGTACTGCACGTTATTTTCACTTTCATATTTAAACACGGTGAACAATAGTAGTTAATAAAAAGGATAATAATATACATATTAATAAGAAAAAATAAAAAAATTCAAGAATTAATTAAATAAGTAAGTATTATAAACTAACAATGATAATTTTCCTGTATAAATAATATATTATTAAACGAGGTATCATATTTTCTAACTGGTCTAAACGACCAAATGTGGTACACCAATTTTTTTAAAACAAGAGTTAACTTGCCATAACCTTTTGAAAAATGTGTGCTCAAACGATTTATCAAATTTTAGGTCAAATATCCAAAATGAGCGCAAACGGTTGACAGCCCTCTATAATACTATAATACTCTATAGTGATCCCTTGGACCTTAGAAGTAGGTAATACTGCTAGTCTGCCTCTTATATACTGAGTTTGTAGTATTTTTTTTACAGCGAACTTGGCAAGAAATCATTATATTAAGAGGACGCATCAGTAAAAACTTTTCTCTGTCTTACACACGTATGCAGTAAAAACTTCTCTCTGTATTTTTCTTTATGTGATTACATTGCTTAAATTAAGGTGTTATAACCGATTATAGAAAAAATAATAAAAAGGACAACATTATCTGTATTTAGTTGAAAGTTTCTTTTAATATTATGATTTTATAGAAAAGTATTAGAAATTAGAATTAATTTTTTTTTAATTTTTTATTCATTTATAATAATTTATTTCATTAGTTATTAAAAAGCTTCTTATAAAACACAGATAATCTTTATAATTTTTAATTATATTTTAAAAATACCTTAATTTAAACAATTAAATGCATTGCAATCACAATGAGTGAATTACGAAGAGAAGTTTGGAACTATAATAGGTACATGTAATATACGTGCACGTGTGTAAGACAGAGAGAGGATGATACTATAATGTGCCCTCTTAGGAATGAATTAGATAAGAGGGTACGTTTTTCTCAGTTTCTCTAACGGCGTTATCTAAAATGTCTATTTTATGGTTGGCACCATAAAAATGAAAACAATAAAACGATGCGAGAAAGAACCTATTCGTTCGTAGCTATATAAAAAACAGTTACCCCAATCAAAGCTAAATTTATAATGTCATCCTATAAAAAATATTGGTCTCACTCACTTTATAGTTTATGTGTTTGCGATGATCATAGGAACGGTTTAAAGCGATGACACAATATTGTTGCGACCGATGAGGGACTACAAATGGTCCAAAGGTTTTTTATCTACTTTTTTGATACTATTTTCGATGCTCTTTATCCAAGTACAATGAAACATAATAATATTATTAACTTATTATATTGATAAATTTTTATTATAATAATTAAGAGGATGTTAAAAATTCACACATTTTTTAAAATTTAATTATTTAAATAGTAGAACGGCGGAGAATTTTGTAACGATTTACTATACATTTACTTTATTTACATGTTTTATAAGAACCCTGAACCATATATATAATTCAATATACGTAATACACTAAAACGTATCTAATATATATAAATACATTTCAAATATTTCAAATTCATAATATACAATTATACGAATATATTATTACCAGCGATCATGCATTACACTTCAATAGAATATTATGTTCTAAGTCTTATAACTTTGAATGGTTGATGGAAATACTCATGAACGCAATATAATATTGTCTAAATAATATAAAATAGTGCCAACTACAGTTCCGACCACCTCTATACATGCTTTTCTTTAAAGACTATAACTCTCACTTCTCAGAATAAATGTACCACTGAATAATAAATCATTGTATAGCATATTATACCATAATATACGATGTCCAAACTCTAAATGTAGGTATACAATGAAGCTTTTTGAAGCAAACATCATATTATTATTATTATAAGTATTTCCTTTTATAAATTACATAATCCCCTCCGCCGGGTGATCCCACTATACATTTATTAAAAACTTATATGTATACGTATTAAATTCATTTAAAATTGATGGAAAATGTTTTACAATGTGTGTTCAGTTGACAAGAGCTATTTAATAAAATTAAATTGTAATCATACGAGTAAATTAATTTTTTATTTTGTTTATACTACTAAAGCTATAGCTTAAACGAGTAAGGCGTGCGGGTTTATTATTTTAGTACTTCATAACTGAAATGTATTATAATTATAATAAAATGTAAATTCAAAAACTTTAATTTAAATATGCGTATAATAAATGTTTCTGTCCTGCAGAGGGGGGTCAAACCCAATACCCCCGTAAACACACCACTGAACGTTTACATTATACATATATGTAATATAGTTTCCAGCTAATAACCAAACCACTGCGCAGTATAAGGTACCTATAACTACTACCTTCACAGTTTACGTGTATATATTATATTCAACCGGCAGCATAATTTAAGACAGTATGGCGAGTATTGATTATATAAGTATCGTATACGGTATACCTACCCCAAACTTACCTTCACGCTCGCTGTATGTGTGTGTGTGTGTGTGTGTGTGTGTTTTGCGGTACTCTATACAAAAGGTTTATTTTAAAATTCAACAAAAGCTTATAAACGATATACACATACATATTATATTTTTTTAACCGGCAAAAAAAACACGAAAAATAATTTTTCTCCGGTATTTTTTTCCCCTAGTTGGCCAAATTCCTCAAAGCTTTTATGAAAATAAACACGCGTTTATATACGTAGGTACGTCCTGCACGCAAATTATATGTACGAGGGCGGTATATCTTACCGAACCAACATTTATTTTCTAGTTTAACCGATTTTTCTCTAAAACTTTTTAAACATTATAATATTATACCATTTATTACTCTATGTGGATGTGGCTAAACATTGGTATATACTTCTTAATATATTCACGTTTTTTGGGAGCAGTGATACGGGGTGTTGGTCGCCAGTGATTTTAATTCACGAGACACTATGGGGTAAGCACTCGATATTAATATATACAGTGATACCTATCTATAATAGAAACCATAGGGGAATTAAAATGTGTCCACTAATATAAGAGCTGTCGCCATTAATAGGGTAACTATAAAAATAGCAACGTATTTACTGTTTATAGATACCTACCTATGTGTTTTATTGTATATTTGATTGAATTAAAGTTGTAGAACATATAATATTATCAATAAATACATGCATATAATTTAGTTACTTAAATACTCGTGTATAATTGAAAATTCTCATATGGTACCTGAGATTTTCTGACATTAAATCGTTGGGATACAGGTACATTTCTTTGGGTGTCATTGGTGTCAATTAGTTTTGAAATAAATTTAAACGTTTTCTTTTATTGTTTTAAAATTTAACATTGGGTATTAATCACGTACTGGAGCGAAATTGAACTATAAATTCCGTCATAAATACTATGTATAAGTAATTTAGTACGATAATTGTATCTTATCTTATTTTTAAGTAGATTAAATAAATAAAATGTCCATTTTTATACAATCATTCATGTATACCTTGTCTATTATAAAAGGAATCCATTATTCTGCGGTTATTACTTATATTATTTCCACCGTATATATAAATTCCGGAGTATTTAGAGTGTCCGCCATTTGGGGGGGGGTTCGCTAATAAATAAATATAAATAAATATAAATAAATATGAACTACACGGGTGGGACGACACGTTTTTTCCTTTTTCCGTGTGTTTATATACTTAATAAACTTGAGGGAGAATACCATGCGGCGGCCCCTACCACACACACACAATTGATTGTCAAAACGGTATATATTATTATTATTATTATAATGACGAAAAAACACGTGATTCCGTGCAAAACTATAGTGAATAAATGCCTGTGCCGTGCGTTAAAGATCGTGCGCGAAATATCGATCTCGGAGGCGATACTACGAAACACACGATAATAATTATTAGACCTACGACCCTTTTATATACCTAGAATCTATATTATAATCAAGGTTATAGATACGAGTATATTTTGGGGGGGGGGGGGTTGTGGCTACAACACAGTTTATTAGCTTTTGGAACTGTGGAAGATGGAACTGTGGTTTTGTGTGAACACGTGTGTTTTTGGTATATAGATATTTTAGTGGGCACCCCATAGCCGAAAATAGGGTGGCTTAGGGGGTATTAACATCCCCAATTTTAAAATAAGCACCCTCTATAATAACTTATGTGTTTATGTATCAAAACTTATTCTAACAACAAAAAAAAAAAACCAAAAAAAGTTTATCATCAGACATGAGGGTGTCACAGTATAATGAATGAAACAATGAACTCGACAATTGTCATTTTATCAAATTCAAATCTATTTAGAACATTAATCATTAGTTTTCCAATGTCTACTAAACCCGGTCGTTGTGGTCGGTTATATTATTATCAGTTATCGCGTTCAGCAGCGACTCAGCGATACGACAATTTAGTATCGCGAGTATTTATTTTACTAATATAAGCATTCCCTTGCCCACATCTAATTCGGACAAAAACCTAATAATTACGATACCTATACGAAATACGAATCACTTGTCAGTTGGTGTTCACTCATGAGTTCCAAGTTTCCAACAGCCTGTGTGATTGTGTATGTCATATGGTATTAAATAGTTTAATATCCTATACAGGGTGTAACAGATAGAACTGACTTTTGGAATAAATTTTGCTCTAAACAATATTTATAATGTTTTTTTATATATAATTTATAGTCACTACACATTTATTATTAAAAAATTATTTTTAACATTGAAAATTTGATTTAAATTTGTTTGGATATATTCAAAATAGCCAATTTGTGAATCTGATTATAAGAACAATTTTGATACTAAAAACATTTACCTAAGTCAAGTAGTTTATTTTTTAGAATTTTTTAAATATCAATATTTTTTTGATTAAATGAATTTGGAACGCAAACGTAAGTATTATTATATTGACTTTTTTCAAAAAATTATTTTGGGAATTTGCTGACATGAGTATATTAATTCTTAGTTTATTTACTAATCATATAATTTTAACAATTTTTGTCATACGTTTAAGAAGTATAATTTTTTTTTTCGTCAAGTAGTCTTTCTGTTACACCTTGTGTACTAATAAAAAATTCCGCCCGTGACCGAGTTCGAACCGGCGCAGGTGTGCGTTGCAACTGACGCCTTATTCCGCTCGGCTACTCCGTTACACACAGTTACTTTTAAGCGTTGTGATAAGCACATTAAAACACCAAAATCTGAGGTACCTATAAATAGTAATAATAAGTAAAAATTGGAAAATATACAATGTAAAATTTTAAAAAAGAACATTTTATTTTTAAATATATATCTATGTCAACTTTTAAATTTTAAATTTTAATTAATTTCTATGTATTGAGAAGTAGATAATACCTATCGCGCGTGGTTACCACACGAAAACCAAATTCACTATAATTAAATGGCATAGCGCATGGCTATAGTACTATATTTAGTCTTGCCGAATCTATAAGTTTACATTTCCAATAATTCCAATTGTAATTTTGAACATTCTTAATTAGTGGGTAAGACAAAAATTCAATTAAATGGGTTTGATTCCTTTATAATATATACTATGAGAAATAAGAATATACTTGAAAATATCAACTACAAAATTCTAAAATAGCAAAAACCGATATGAATAAGTGAAAATTAGCAACAAAAAATGTCTTACATGAAATTTCAGCAGTAATATATGAAACAATTTTTATTTAATTCGAGATGTTCTAAGATTTACCAAACATTGTTTGGCAAACAAAAAAATACTTAAATTCTAGAATTTGCCAGCGCCACTGTAAAATAAATAATACCTAATCATCAATGTAATACGTCTTGTCATAGATACCACATACCGGCTGAGAGGTTTGTTCCGATTGTTTCTCCTGACGATGGTTACGACGGCCACTACGACCGGTGTGACGACGCTGCATACAGCTCCCGGAAAGAGGCAGCCGCGTTGTACTCGAGGGCGTCGGCGATCGTGGACGCGATGCCTTCTTCGGCGGCCGCGCTTTCCAGAGCGTACGCGACAGCCACCCTGAGGCCATCGAACCGCTGCTGTACTGGGCCGCTGTACAGTGGCGGTGGTGTGGGAAGCAGCAGCGGCGGCGGATGTGGCTACCAGTACGGCACCGTCGGTCGGTCGCGGTCGCCCAGGGACCTATCGCCTTCCGGACTGGTTAGGCAGCAAGCCACCCACTTGTCTTCCACAGGGTCGCCGCCAAAAGGTCCACCGAACAACAACAACGGTGGCAACAACATCAACAACAACAACAGCGCTTGCCTGGTCCAGTATGACGCGCACTCGGCCACGCTGCCCCGGTGTAGTAGCGCCAACGTGGTTTGTGCCGGACAAAACAATTACGACGAACCGGCGGCCACCAGTTACGGTGGCTCTCACGCGGCCACGCGCCGCATATCGTCGTCGTGCATCAGGGAAAGCTCGGCGCTGGCATGCTGTTCGACGGCTGCTTATACCGGCCACGCCACACTGTCCGGCGTCAAGAGCGCGGCGGCCGCGACGTCGACGACTGCGACGACGGCCACGTCCACCCCGTCGGCCGTCGCCGCAGCAGTAGCAGCAGCGGCGGCGGCGGCGGCGGCAACTTCCACACCATCCACTACCACCCAAGCTTCCGGCAGCGGAAGTGGCGGTGGCAACAACAACAACAACAACGCACACTGTCCTCCGGCTCAACCAAACAACGCTTCTTGGTAAGCATATAATATTATGATATATAGGTAAATTAATTAACAAAATTAACTTGAGTTCGTAAGTCAACGTTTAACTACAAAGCATAAGTTAATAGTTCACAGTTGTATTTAACTCTAAAAGCTTATTTATTATGGAGACAAATATTAACTTTACTTGGATAAAAAGAAGTTATAACTAAAAATATTTTTTTTTTCAATTACCTACTATTTGGTTCACACATATTATATTAAATATATATTATAGTGATTATACAACAATCGGCGCCCGGTGCCGATGCCGTTTTGTCCTCAAAAATACACTCTCCGGGAATAACGATACCGCCTCGTAGAACCAACCAAATTTCATAATTTTTTTTTTAATTGCTAGAGGGAAATATTCTATAGCCTGTACAGGTCTCTGTTTTCCAATATTTTATTCTCAAACTAGTCAAACTATAATATGTCTAAAAAAATTACAAGATAAAAATAATTTTTACAAATTTTTTAATACAATTATTTGAAATAAAATACAAAATCAGAAATCTATGCGGGCTGTAGGAAGTCTTCTTCTTTCAGATAAAAAAAATAGTCATCTGCAAAATCCGACAATTCTACAAAGCCTGAAAGTTATTCCCGTAAAGTAATATTTTCGATGTAATACACCCTATAAACCCCCCATAAATAGGTATAGGGTATTAGATTGGTGAAAAAGTATTATATTTGAGGTGGCAACTTAAATATAAAATTTAATTTTCAAATTTTATAGAATTGAGGAAAATTTGAAAATCTGGCACCGTGGGACCAGTTATTTTTTTCAAATGATAACTAATTTTTTTGTTAAAAATGCATTCTACTATTTGTTTTTATTTATTACACACTAGCTATAGTGGTTAGGATAATGGGTAGGTAGATAAATAACCAAATAGGTACACCGACAAATCGTGCACGTTTACGTTATCCAAATTATTAAATCAAGAAATATAAATTTGTTTATATTTTGTATTTATAATTATGCAATGTATTTGAAGTATGATGAATCAAATAAAATAATTAGGTAATGATTTTTTTGCAACTATATATGGTTATAAAAATATGTTTACACATATTATTATTTGTTATTATTTAGTTGTAGGTACCTCCTATATAAGCTATCTATATATATAAAAAAAACCAGCCAAGTGAAAGTCCGACTCGCGCACGAAGGGTTTCGTACCATCATCAGCTATGTTGGCAACACTGCTTATATTATATATTCTAGGATTTTTAGCATTGAGGAGAAGTAATGCTAACGCGGTTCCACTTCCGTCCCTCGATTAACTCAAAAAAAAAAGAATTAAAAAAAAATAAAAAAAAAAGGGATTTTTAGTATTTGTTGTTATAGCATCCACGGAAATACATAATCTATGAAAATTTCAACTTTTTAACTTTCATGGTTCATGAGATACAGCCTGGTGACAGACGGACGGACGGACGGGCGGACAGCGGAGCCTTAGTTATAGGCTTCCGTTTTACCGTACGGAACCCTAAAAATTATTGGATGTAATCCAAAATAAATTGAATGCTGTTGTAACAGTATCACTTAGATTTTTTTAACCGTTATAGTATATAATTCGTAGTAGGTACCTCCGCTGGGAGGCCTCTACATTCCATCCAATCTGCCTTTTATTTTTATTATTTTTATTTTAACATTTTAACCCATCAACTGTTCTTATTGTTCTTCTTTGTAACAGATTGAATAAAAAAACATATAAATCAAGAAAAGAAAAATATTATAAAATAAAACATATTATTGATATTATAGAGTTGGCATTTTTAATGGGCACAAAGTGAACTGGATCAGCTAGTAATTTATAAACATAATTTTACTTATCTATTATTTTTTGTATTAACTAGAAAAACATAAGTTTTTAAAATGGATTTTGTAACGTTATATAGGTTAATTAAGTTAATTAGAAAAATAACTAACTAGGTAATTAATGTAGACCTTTGTGGCTTCCTGTAGCCGGTAATCGGTATGTTTTGTTGTAGAGACTCAAGTCGGCCATTAGTAATTGTATGGATTGGGTTAGCGGGGCATGAAGCCGTTGTTTAAAAAAAATGATGACTAACAAATTAAAATCTTTAAAAACATTTTGTTAACACTTTATAAAATTAATTCACCTAATGTAGTGAACCATCACCAACCCTCCTCAGAATCGGTCTATCGTTATTCTGTTTGTCATTGTCTTCTATCAATCTATAACGTACTTACTAAAATAAATAAATAAACTCCTGATAGATAAAATCCCACCAGGACATAGATAAAAATTACTTATAGTCTAATATAAGTTTAATGTTATAATTATAACTTATAGCGAAATTTATATTAAAGTACATGCAGTCAAAAATGCCCATGGAGGGGGTCAATGGCTCCCTTTCCCCCCTCCTACGGGTGCCCTTGAGTGTAGGTATTATACATATAATAATATAACATATCAGTATTGGGTATATACAGAAGAGGTTGAAATGATAAGCTTCCGAAATTCAGTACGTATAATTGTACGGTGGAGGGTATAACTATAGCTATAATATGGAGTTTAAACTGTGCAGAAGATAAACAGCATTTTACATATTTTTAAACACTCATATGAGATACAACTGTCCGTTAATATTTTTACTATGTACTTATGGCCATATGTCTCTGTATTGAGTTTTTAATCAACATTGATGTTAAATAACTGAGGAAAAAATTGTATGGAAGTGGAATATGGTATGTGATTCTATAGTTCCATTTCACTTGCTCAAAACTTCGTAATCTATGTAATACTTGTGTGACCTACTTAAATCGTGTAATCCTTTAGAAAAATACCAACTTTGTTTTTATTTTCACTCTAAAATGTACATAATATTTTCAGTATTTATAATTTTTTTTTTTTACGTGTCTCGTGTGCATTCATGCATTAGGTCGGTTAGGAACACGTGAGTGTTTGGCAGAATTTCTATTGGGGCACCCGTAGGTTTCTGCCATGTCCTGGAGTGGGGGATGGCGGCACTTATTCTCAGGACACCGTGACTTGCCCGAAGAAAAATGCCGCCCGGTGACCAAGGATCGAACCCGGAACCTTGGACCGCTTGGCCACCTCGTCCCCCAGTATTTATAATATAAAATGTTTTAATTTTTGTTTTGGACTTTTGACTTTATAAAAGCAGTGTTATTTATTAATTATCATAGATCCTACTTGATGTGCTTTTAATGTACGAGAACAATGTCAATACTCAACAGAGTGTTAGTATAGTTCCCTCCAAACCGTTAGGAACACATATAGAGAGTATAAACAATCTTCCGATATTTTTTAGTTTTTTTTATAAGGAAATCGTCATTATTGATTTTACCGCGATGTTATTAACAATAGTCAATAGCATACTTATAATTGGTAATTGGCATGAATATATGATATGAAATACTGTGTAATCCGAAAATTAATTTTATCATTTAATTAAAAATCAACCTCATAATAGACTGAATGTCTAGAATTACCCGTAGAAACATTTCTTTTTTTCATAAGTGCAGTACTTTTCAATTCACTATTATACAATATACATATTTACATTCCATAAGGAAATAATGTATAATAATATAATATCTTATACATTCAATAATAATAATAGCTAGGTAACAGAGTTTTATCGCTTTTAAAAATTAAAAAAATTTTAAATTTTAATTTTACCATGGCAACTTTTTCCCCACGCGACTATTATACGTGTAACAATATACGTCACGCAAACCCTGCAAACCTATGATTTTATTTATGATCATGGTATAATATTATAATATTGCGTCTATGATTACGACCACGGAACAAAATATTTAATTAAAATACCTTTACGCGTTGTATCAACGAAACGTGCATTTTTGTAAACATCGCTTATGTGTACGTTGTTGGTACTTGTACTACATAGTACCTGTATAATATATAATATATTATAGATAGGTAGATAATGATTATTTTCTATTGTCTCGCATAATATAAAGAACAGGACGCGTGATACATCAACTCCTGACGATGATGACGACGTTATCCCTCGTAAGTCTTACAAAAGACACTGACGTTTTCGAAATATTACCTTTTATACTCTATTAGCAAACGAGTTAGTTGTGTTAGACTAAAGCATGGTTTTATGTACAGCTTGGTATTAGATCTTGATGGTTGAAATTTGATACGGACATATATGCAGTCGTAATTGTATATCCACATCATCCACTCCTTCAGACTATATAGTAGTATATACATACTATATACTGAACAAACGAATTTAGACTTTCGCAGCAGTAATTATATTTGTTAATGTTAAAGAAAAAAAAAGTTAACTATACAAAATATTAAATATCAGCTATTTATTTTTCTTCTACGCGTTATAATAATATTACATAATGTGTTTATCAAGACTTTATAATGACCGTTAACTATACGAATGTGACTGTAATAGAAAGCTCATAGCTGTATATAAACCAAGTAGACCCATTTCCATTTTGTAAACTATTTTTAAAAACATTATATTACTGAACACAAGCGTGTACAGTTTTATTATTATTTCTGATAGAAACTTTATACCTTTTGTTAGTATAAAATGGTTTAATATTGTATAATACTACCTACACCTATAGGCCGTAGCCAGCATGTATATTATTCAGTTATGTTGCACTTTTTTTGTTTTCGATAATTAAACTATAGGGTTTGTTTAAATTTTGTACTTATGGTTTAGTGCCAATAGCGTATTTAGTAGCCAATTCGCAGGTCATAAATCAAAATAAATAAAGAGGTTATAGTTTTATAAATAAAACAAATCAACATTTTTAGAAAAAGATTCGTTAAACATATTCAGGTAAATTTTAACATTGTTAATCACTAATGGGCTATAATAAATTGTTCGTTTGAAAATTATTATGTTTAGCAAAAATCGTATGATTATTATTATTATTATTTACTGTGCCTAATTATAACATTTATATAAAAACTGAAGAACTCTCTTATACTACTTTATTAT